GTGTGTGTGCGTGTGCGTATGTATGTGTAAATATTAGGCAAAAGCATGAGGACAAATACATGTATTTTTTATCATATTTTCCAACACACGAAATCGAAGAGAATATGGCGTATGGACGATTTTAAAGTAATACTGAAAACTTTCACAACTTCATCGGTAACGCGCTATTGGAACATCACAGACATAAATGATTAACTTTGAACTGCCCCGATTTCGACAGATTAGGAGTGTTACTACCTGGTAGAATTATCTTCTGAAGCTGATTATAGTAATAAAAGCGTAAAGGAAAAATTTGTCTTTATCCTTTATGTCCCGCAACTTGTGTCATATATATTGCCCAAATTAGCTGCTCTTGTTTATTGAAATAAAATAGTTGCCTTTTCAGCTTTAAATCATAATTGTTTTTAAAAATATGTTTTTTTTTTCTTCAATTCCAGTTTCACCTTTCGTGACCTTTAAAAATAGGAGATTATTTTGTTGATGCCGCTTATAAATAATTTGTTTCGTTAAAACAATAAAGTGATTTTTCGTGGATGGTAACCACTTTAACATTAGAATACAGGTTTGGGATAAAGATAAGTAATACAAAAAATGACGTCAGTATTTTAATCTAGAAAATTCACACTTTAAATTTTGAAATACATATTTATTGTTTTGGTCATAAAAATAAAAATAGATTACAAGTTACTGCATTGGGGTATTTTACTTAGTTTCTGAATTGGCACATTTTAATAAGTAACTACATTGGGGCATTATAAAACGTTACAGCATTGGGGCATTTTAATAATTACTGCATTGGGACATTTTAATAAATTGCAGCATTGGGGTATTTTAATAAGTTACTCCAATGGGACATTTTAACATTTTTACAGCACTGTAGAATTTTACTATGTTACTGCATTGTATCATTTTAATTGGTTACTGCATTGGATCATTTTAATCAGTTACTACATTGGGGCATTTTAATAAGTGTCTGCATTGGGGCATTTTAATAAGTTACAGTATTGGGGAATTTTAATAAGTTACAACATTGTAGCATTTTACTATGTTACTGCATTGGATCATTTTAATCAGTTACTACATTGGGGTATTTTAATATGTTGCGGTATTTGAAGATTTTAATATGTTACTACATCATTAAATAATATAATTATTTTTCATTTTTGTGAAATTTCTTTTAAGGAATAATGATAAAATTTTTTACTGAAAGCATAAATTACTGAAATTACTCATGAAGTATACGACTACCAACAAATTATCAAATTGGTTTAATCCGGTAATTTTGACAATAGCACATTATAGCAGATGCAAATTATTCAGAAACTGAAGAGGCTGCGGAGAAAACGAAAGGTTGAATGCACTCGCAATCCATCAGATCTTTGTTGTTAGAATGGATACAGTGTAGGGAAAAAATAGCATCGGGATGGTAAGAAGATGAGACAAAAAATAAGTCTAAAGATAGAGCCTTGGTGGACAGTGGGTTTAATGTGAAAGTATCTAGAATATTAACAAGTCAACATGACTTTCATTACAAGTTTACATAAGGAATGGATCAAATCAAAAATTCGACCTGAGAAACCTCAGCTCTTCATGCTATACCCTGTCAAACGCTTTCGAGATATCGAAAGCTACGACTCAAACTTCACCGTTTTTATCTAATGGATGACATATTCTTTCAGTAATAACCATTAGCACATCGGCAGTTGACCTGGAGAAGCGGAAGCCATATTTTTGGTTTGAAAGGAAGTCGTGTGAAGTGAGATTCTTAAGCAATTCGTAGTTGATTAGCGCCTGGAGTACATTGCCAACAATAGCTTAGAGAAGGATAATTTCAAGAATTAGACAGCTCACCAGATTTCTTTTAAAAACAGGAATTACACAATAGAATTTCCAAGAAGCTGGAAAGAAAGAAACAGCAAGGCATATGTTGTAGTGTTTCGAGAAAACAGGAGCCAGTTCAGGACAATTGGAGGGACAACATAATGTTCGGATGATTTTCTTGATGTGTTTATATATATATATATATATATATATATATATATATATATATATATGCATCAACGATGAACACGGCAGCAATGTGCTGATCTTGTTCAAAAACAAAATATTCCTATATCTCTAGACCGATGCATAAAACAATCCATAGGTTCTGTTAAAAGAAAAATCAGATAAGCCATGATTATGGATAAATCTATACGCAAGGCCATCGAGCATAGAGAACCTTCGGACAATTTCTAGAAAATATAAGTCCGAAAAAGAAAAAATTATAAGAACACAAGAAAAATTTGGTAAAAAACGTAATTGCAGTGTTGTCAATCGTTTTTTACAAAACATTAAAAAAAGAGGATTGCTGCCCAAATAGACACATGTCTAGCCACACAGCGAAACAGTATGCCTGTGGATGACAATATATATATATATATATATATATATATATATATATATATATATATATATATATATATATATATGTGTGTGTGTGTGTGTGTGTGTGTGTGTG